CATATGCTGCATACTTTGTAGTAGATTAAGAATGCCTGCCCAAATATAGATATCCTCAACTCTCGTTTAAGTTGTTTTTTAACGGTTTATTGACTGGCCGCGGGCTGTGACTTAACTGCTGCAATGTCGTCCTAATAAGCAGCATCCGGACACCGTTACGTGGGTCTTGGGGGCTTCTCTTGTTCTATACACCCAAACATACACACATACATACATCTACCATGCAGCTACAGCTGCTCTGTGGCCGGGCGCCTTGTCGAAATTACGCTCATAAACGTGACTTGACATAATAATCTCTGACTGGAGCTCTGAGTGCGGCCGCTGGCTTTGTCTTTTGGCTTCTGCTGCCTTTGTTGCTCACGTATATACATTTAGATATACATACATATATATTTCTTTGTATATATATACATATATATATACCTTTTCCGTTTTCGTTCTTTTTTTGTCAAAGGTGGCGTTAATTTTTTGGCCGCCTTTTGTTATATTTTCTTTTAATTTTTTTTTTCGCTTTGCTTTTGTTGTCTTTGCGGGGTCAAGCTTTCTTTGGTTTTTTGTTGTATTTTTGCGGGTGAGCAGCCGGTTGGCTAATATTGCAAAAATTTCATTAGTTTTACAAACAAGCAAACAAACAAAGCAAGAAACAAATATTTGCGCTTGCATTTTTTAGCAGTTTAGTGCCAGTTGTTGCTGTTCACTTTTTTTTTTGTAATTCTCGTTGTTGTTGTTGTTGCTGTTGGCGAGTGCTACGTTTTTATCTAAAATAAAAAAAATAAAAAAAAGGCACCGCCAGCTGGGATAATGGACAGGTTCAGGTGAAGCCAAGGGTCGCCAGGGAGCTAGCGTAAATAAATAAATGGCAAAGCAGAAAGTTAAAACTAATATCAAAACATCGAATCCGACATACACTTAACAAGTTGTTACACATAAATATTGAAAGAGCAGCGTACATATAAAATAATCTCAAATGTGGTTTACGAAAAGCCAAGGCTTATACGAAAAACATGTAAATAATAAACTAAGAATGAATGAAAGGCTGAAAGGATTATCAAATATGACAAATATAAAATATATTTTTTATGTTGATTTAGTTTGATTTTCATACAACTGTCAATTATAAGCTTAAATTTAAAATTGTATATATAATATTCAAAACAAAACAAAAGTGCTTGGAAAGAAAATAATTTATTTAAAATTAAATTTTTTATAGTTTAGAATTGTTAGACTTAATTCATATTTTTTATTTTTATCATTTTAGTTATTTTTTTGAACATACATAAGATTATTATATTAAAGTAAGTATTTTTTTTTTTTAATTTATATGTAAGGAAAAATTGAATAAATATATAGCTTTTTATATGTAAAAAAAAATTTTTTTTTTTTAAATAAAACAAAAACTTTGGAAGAAAACTATTGAGTAATAAAAATAATTTATTTAAAAACAAAAAAAAAAAAAAAACTTTTTATACTTTAGAAGCTACAAAAAATATTGTAAAGTTAAATTGTTCAACTTAATATACAAATTTTTTATTTTAATCATTTTATTTATTTTTTCGAAAATATATAAATAATATTATGAAATATACTTTTATTCTTTATATATATAGATGAAAAATTTAAATAAACAAATCGATTTGATATATAACAAAAATATTGAGTACAAAAGAAGGAAACATTTGAAAACGAACAGAGTGTCTTTGGCCTAAACAACTCTGAGTTCCCATATACCCTCATTTAAAGCACAAGAATACAAATGGCGCGTGCGATTTTTTCAAAATTGCTTTGGCTTTTTAATTGAAAAGTGTAATGGAGCGGGAGTTAAAGTATAGTAAACTATAGAATAGTATGGAATAGTGTTGTGCATACACGCCAAATTGCTTGCATATAAACGCATAAACTAGAACATTTTACACACGCTCGTACTATGCCCCGTATATCATATTTGGTTGCTCGCTAATTTGGTACTTTAAAATGCATAACGTCTATCCATGTGTGCCGCATGGTTATTCTTTTATATTCATATATAATATGTGTATATATATACATTTATATATATATATTTTTTTTTTTCTGTTGACCTATGTGTGTGAAATGCTCTCATGACTTCACAATAGCTAAACAGGCGACCCGTTTCGGGGTAATTAGTTGTCTCTCTTGTCCTTTGCCGCCACATGCCCGCGAGCCAAAGAAAATGCCGCAGAGTCCTCTGAGTAGGGGCGTGAAATGTGGCTTGCCCAGTTTGTGTGATACCCTTTAATGTATTCAAGTGAGTGTAAACATGTTTAATGTGGTATATGCAGAGTATAAGTTAAGTTTATGAATTAACATAAAACATTGTAAATGTTATGAATACACATGCACCTGCCAGGAATCCTCCAAGTGAAAAAGAAAATTCGTTAAATTTCTTCTTTATATTTAAGCTCTGCAAAATTAACAAAACTTATATTCTATTTTCTAATTCTCTATGTTTTATTTTCATATTTACTTTTAATTTTGTTTTTCTTATTTTTTTAGCATATTTTGATTATCTTTTAGTTAACACTGAGTATCTCTTAGTCAGTTTGAAGTTTTTCAGGTTTTTTTTCTCTTTTTCTTTGGACATTGTGATTGTTATTGTATTACCGTTGGTCTCAGTCACGAGGGCTACTTCGACTGCTTCGTGAAGTTTGTTTTTAGATACAAATAATGCGAAAATTTAAATTTTCCAAATAATTTACTAATTAGTATTTGCAATGCATATGTATATAATAATATATTATTATAATAATATCAATATGTGTATATTAATAATTGTTTATTTTAATTAATTGTCATTGTTATATTTTCGTTAATGTCAGCCTTAGGCTGGGCTGCATATTTTCTGTTGCATATGCAAAATTCTACTCAATTTTATTCAAAGGTAGAGCATTGCGTGAGAGCCAAGAGTTGGTCAAGTAGCTGTGTCCCATTTGTCCCTTATCACCTAGGTACATAAATTATGACGATGAGGTTACTTTGTAATCAGCAAATTAAGTTTATAGCCGCTGGCATATTATACAATATAAATATATGTATATATATACGTATGTATATATACATATATATAAACAAGGCAAACCCGCAAATGAAAAGTAAACTTGACGCCCACATTTTTTGTGTCCGCTATTTGTGGCTGTTGCTGTTCCTGTTGTTGTTGCTGTTGAGCAGGAAATGTGAGCAAATTTAAAGCATTCCATTTGGCAAACAATACACAAATCAGTCATTAAATTGTGCTGCCATTTTGCTTTGGATAATCGAAATTTTAATGCTATGCCCGCGATATTTGTTTGCACAGGGCCAAAATGGGCCACCTTACTCAGGGTGCAATCCCCACCGCTCAGCCCTCATCCCTCACTTCTTGCTTGCTGCCATTGTCGGGTTGTCGGCGCCATCTAAATTTGCGGCCTGTCGTGGTTTAGCCGGCATTGTTTTTGGCACACACTCACGCCCACGCCCACACACACAAACACACACACTAAAAAAGCAAGTGTGAGTATTTCGTGGTGCAGACTGTGACTCTGTGTGTGTGTGTGTGTGCCCATAGCCGGTAACCGACACATGCGGTAATTTACCTAATTTTCGGGTGTTACACCCACAGATCCTCCTTCTTGGCGTTGTTGTTGTTGGCTGCGCCAATAGAGCTGATTGGATTTCCGCGTTTGCTTCGGCGACTCTTGCGCGTAAAACGCGATTTAATCGAATGCGCCTTTCAGTGTGTTAACGCATTTTAATATCAAACATTGTCAGAGTTTTCTCCATCCACACAATACCGTCGTGGGCTTCCCAGCAAAATTCTTTGTAATGTTCCATGGCTCTGGCAACATTTTGTGGCCATAACGAAAGTTCGCCCAAACTTGACAACGATTCGCTTTGAGTACGCAAGTTTTCATTATGCATTTTATATGAGATATACCGCCAACAGCCGCAGCTCCATCAGCAGCAACAGCTTTGTACATTCGTTAATGATGCTCCTTTGAGGCCTTAGCATTAGAGTTTTTTTTTTCTTTTGGCGGTTTGTGGTGGTGGATTCTAAGGGCTGAAAGCCGTGATGGGCTTTGCAAGATAACTGGCTGGCTTATTAACATTTTCGCATGTATATTTAAAGGTCAGCTGCGCATCTGCTGATAGGTGCGTTTGATAGTTTAATAGGCTTGTTTGGCGACCCTTATCAATACTTAAGTCTCCTAAATCTTACG